TACATAAATTATTATTATAGAAGATAGAAATTTTTTTCTCTATGATATTAATTATACTCAGATAAAATTGTATTATTTATATAACTTACTTGAGATTGGCCAGTTGACTGTGGTTGTGGTGATGCAGAAGGTGGTGGTGCTGGAGATTGAGAAAGAGCACGTTGTGGTGACTGACTGGAAGGATTGGTTTGATTGGCTGGAGGTGGTGGTGGATTTGGTGGTCCACCTTGATTCCAACCTCTTTGTTCTGTATAAAGACTGGAAGGATGGCTACTTTGCGTAGTATATGAATTTAGCTAAAAAATATAAATAATTAATTATTGATTAAAATATAAATAATTATGAATATTATATTCAATTATTTTCTAATTATTATTAAATACCTGATGGTGACTGTATGGTGCATGAGGTCTTGCAGGAGAAGAGTAACGTTGTGTATATTGTTGATATGGCATAGGAGTTGGAGAACTAGGTCCTCCAGGACCTGCATGTAATCTTGGTGATCCCTGTATATTATAAAACATATTTAATTATATATAATTATGAAAAGAATAATAAATCATATATTTTAAAATATACAATATATGCAAATTATTATTATAAAATAATAATTTTAAATTACAATTAAAATATATAATTTAAAATATTAAAATATTATACATAATTTAATAAGTATAAACATTTCTACCGTCTGTGGAGGACGTTGGCCAGGTTGTGGATACACTGGAGGGACAACTGGAGGTCGTTGAATGGGCCATGGTTGTTGATATGGCTCTGGCCCCATTCCAGGATAATTTCCATGAAAACGATGTACAGGTGTAGATGCTTGAAGTAACTGATTTAATGTAGGTGTCGGACCAGTAGCTTGTGATATACTTTGTCCTGATAGAAACCTTGGTTGTCCTGGAAAACTGCTTGGTGTAGCTCCTACATATGCCAATCGTGATTCAATCTTGGAAGCTGCATAATGCTCTTCCATCTCTGCCCGATGAACTCTTTCACTTTCATGTATTAAGTGTTTACCATGATAATCCAATTGTTTTCCTGGAAAGTCTCCATGCTTTCCTATATATTCTGGTACCTGCTTACTTGGATACTCAGTCAATGATTTGGAGGGAAATTCGTTTGATTTGTTGGTATACTCCTCAGGGTAATCACGTATAACGTTCGACGTAAACGGATGTCCGGGATGGTTTGGATGCCCGGGCGTATCGAGAGGCTCTTGCTTGCCAATAGATTCTTGAGGAGCCTGTCCAGCTTCTCTGGGTGATTTTACTTCACCGGCAGTGTGTCCACCAATGTCCTCGCGGTATTGACTCATCTCGAAACCCGTGTCCCCGCCGCGATTCACATATTTAAGCAGCTGGGCCGCGCCCCGGGATACTTTATCACCCGGCTCTGGATCCAGCTGCTGCTTCGTATTAACACTTGCACTATTCCCACCGACTTGCGGACGTTTCTGTGCACATTTCACGGACTCGTTCAGCTTCACATCGTTTTGTTGGCTCTCGGCTTGCGTCGCAGCCATGTTCTCTCCTCACGGAGCCATCGTCGTCTCATAAACTGGCCAATCGCGGGACCTCGTGTGTCTCGCGTACTATGTACTCGAAATCGAAATCCTTTTCTGTTGAATCTCTTTTATCGTACTCAAGTCTTTCCACCACATCCTCAATCAGACTAGCGAAGGCTAAGCACCGAACTAACAATTTTTGCTTCCTGCCGTTTTCAAAGTAGAAGGAACCAAAAAAAAAACTCATACACGAACGTCAAAAGCAGCGTCGCATGTACTACGCCATCTTGTGGTTATATTACAAATTACTAATATTTAACTCTCATTTACAATTTGCGACTTTTCAAAACTGTATAGTAGTTTCATCAGGATTTCCTTTTAAGTAATATATATTTTTGTTTCTGATGAAGATTCACCTCTATGTCTAAAATCGAGAATATGAAATGAAATCCTTATTTGTTTTTATATGAAGATCACTCATCTTATCTAATAAAATAATTTTTACATTTATATAAATATTTTAGCATAAAAAAGTTAAATTGTAATTAATTATAATGCATATTTATATTGTAAGGAATTAAAAATAAAAAAATATATTAAAAAAATAAATTATAAAAAATATATTATAAAAATATATAAACTTTTAAAGAAATAAATGATTTTAAAGAGTTAAAATAATATTATTAATATTCTTACGTAATATATTATATATTTATAACAATTCTTTTGATAATAAATGAAAGTGATATCAAAAAAATATTTATTCATAATATAATTTTCTAATTTTTATTTTTATTTTTTCTATTTCTATACATAAGATATTTGTTTTCGCGCAAAATATCGCGAATATATTATCGCACATAAAAACTTTATAAATAATTTATTATAATGAAATATATTATTTTTAATTTCGTATATTAAAAAAAAAAATAAAATAAAAATTCATTTAATTTGTATTTATTTTTATATTAAAATTATATTAAAATTTTTATATTAAAATTTATATAATTATAAATATTTATAAGTATAATTTATTTCAAATTAATTTTAGAAATAAGTATCCACAATAAAAAACAATATTAATTTTTATTGTGAATCTTTATTAAATATTATTTTCAGTAATATAAATAATGTATGAATTAAAGTTATCATAAAATAAGAAAAATGTAACCTTTGTAATAATTACAGCAATTTTAAATCCTATTTTTATTTAAATTATTTTTAAAATATGATAATGATATAATTTTTTTATGAAATATATTTAAATAAATATTTAAAAAAATAAATTTATAAAAACAAATATATTTATATTATGTATTTCATAATATAAGTGACATAATATAATGGCGCTTTTGCAGTTTATTACTAATAACAAGCATTTATATAGCGTAATATTAATTGTAAAAAAAATAAGCAAATGAATAATAATTCCGATAAGAATAATATTGTTAAAATATAAAGCGATTAATACTATTTAATTGTGTTAGTATTTATAATTATGCGTGTATTCTTATCGCATACGTGTGTCACTATGTACATACGTGTACATTATATTTCAATCCTACGTGGCAATATTCATTAGTATGATTATTTTCTACCTTTACTTATAGTGATATGTAGACATCAGGTATGCGTTTTATCGATACTTGTGTAGTCTAAATATTTAAAATAGAAAATACATTTGTGAAGCAAATATGTAATTAAATTTATAATACATTTCATTTTCAATTACATTTTTGCAGATTTTCTTATATTTTTTCAAATAATTGTTAATTGGAGATCTTATGGATAAAATCTTTTTTTTTTTTTTAAATAAAAATATTTTTTTTTATATATATATACTTATACTTATACACATAATGTATAATTAATACAATAACATATATTTTCATTTACTTTTTTATATTTTTTTTTGTTATTTTCAAATCTTAATCTCTTATTTTTAATTTTTTATTTTTTTTTAGAATAAAATTATATATGAATGTTCTATTATATATTTTAACCAAGATAATTGAAGAGTAATGCAAAGGAAAAAAAAAAAATTAGAAACAATGAGAGCTGTAATTCTTGTTGGTGGATATGGAACTAGATTAAGACCCTTAACATTAAGTCGACCAAAACCATTAGTAGAATTTGCTAATAAACCAATGCTTTTACATCAAATAGAAGCTCTGGTATGTTGCAATATCTTTGTGTTATTTTTATTTTTTACAAATTAATATTATAATACTTCATTTAGATAGAAACAAATGTGACAGAAGTGATATTAGCTGTATCTTATCGGGCAGAAGAAATGGAAAGAGATTTAAGTGAAGAAGTTAAAAAATTAGGAGTTCATTTGATTTTTTCACATGAACCAGAACCACTTGGCACTGCAGGACCACTTGCACTTGTACATGATCTATTGTGTTCAGGAGACGAACCATTTTTTGTTTTAAATTCTGATATTATTTGTGACTTTCCATTTATGCAACTTTTAGAATTTCATAAAAGTCATGGTAGAGAAGGTACTATAATTGTAACTAAAGTAGAAGAACCATCAAAGTATGGTGTAGTAGTATATAGAGATGATGGAAAAATAGAGAATTTTGTAGAAAAGCCGCAAGAATTTATTTCAAATAAAATTAATGCAGGCAAGTATTTGTTTATTTTGAATTATGACATTAATTTTAATATTTATTTTAAAATATAAATATAATTTTATAGGCATGTATATTTTGAATCCAAGTGTCTTAAAAAGAATAGAATTGAAACCAACAAGTATAGAAAAAGAAATTTTTCCGAATATGGCTCGGGATGGAGAATTATATGCAATGGAACTAACAGGATTTTGGATGGATGTTGGACAACCAAAAGATTTTCTTAAAGGAATGAGCATGTACCTGACATCTTTAAGACAAAAATCTCCAGCAAAATTATATTCTGGTCCAGGAGTAGTAGGAAATGTTTTAATAGATGAAACAGCAAAGATTGGCAAAGATTGTAGAATAGGACCGAACGTTACAATTGGTCCTGGTGTTGTTTTATCCGATGGTTGTTGCATTAAAAGAAGTACTATTCTTAAAGCAGCTATAATAAAAGAACACGCATGGCTGGATGGGTAAATGTTAAAATTTATGAATTTTTTATGTGATAGCATATTAACTCTTTAAGTAAAGATAAATAATTATTTTCGTCGATCAGAAATAAATAAATCTATAAGTTTATTGCACATACATACATAAAAAATGAAAAAATAATAAAATCGTGAAAGTATAAGTCTTAAAGAGATCTTCATTTATTTTTTAATATATTTATAATGCAACGTTAATGTAGGTGCATTGTGGGCTGGAGAAGTGTTGTAGGACGTTGGGTACGAATGGAAGGCACTACAGTACTTGGTGAAGATGTGATCGTTAAGGATGAGTTATATATCAATGGTGGTCAAGTTTTACCTCACAAGAATATTTCTAGTTCTGTACCAGAACCACAAATAATCATGTGACCAAAAATAATATCTTAAAATATACATCGAACATGATAAATGACCAAATTATGAAACATTTTATAAATAAATTTTTTATCAGCTTTTCACATAAATTCATGTTCATTATATATTCGTTTATATTTTTTTTTTACATTTACAGTTCAAATAAGCTTTATTGGTAGTCCTCGTACTATTATTGCAGCCGCGGTCATATAATGAGAACAAACATCTTTAGATTTTGCAACTGCTCTCAACATCTCAGGTTCTATAGACAAGTTCTGAGAGCTTTTATGTGAATTCTTTAGAAATTCTAATTATCAGAAATTAAAAAAAAAAAAAAAACAAATTTATAAGAATGAATTTAAACAATAAAAATAATTAAGAAGATAATTTATAATTTTTCATACTAACTTAGAATACCCAAACACCACATATTAATATCAATATCAGTCCATGGTCTATTTAATGGTGATGGAATCCAATTACTGATGAAATTTGTTGTCATTTTATCAGTATCAGCATCTGTAACTTCCCATAACATACCAAGTACACAAGGACTAAAAATAAAATGTAATATATGAAATATAAAATTGATATAATATATAAAAATAATTTTACTTCTACCTGCTTGCTATTAAATATTGATTTGAAATTCCATATGGCGGATAACGTCCTCCTACATTAAGTAATTTTACACTGCTACAGCCAAATAATAAAACAATTGATTTTACTCTAAGTCTTTCTATTTGTTCTCCTGGTAAATATTGTATTCCATTTCCATGACCATTATACCTATGAAAATAATATATCATAAATATATTATATGTTGAATAAAATATAATATATAAAAAAATAAAATTATATATACATTAATATATCTCGATTAATTAATGAATCTTCAAAAACTTCTTCCTGTGGTTCAATATTGTACCAACTTCTCCAATTTGGTAACCAATATTCAATAAATAATCTCATGCGTTTTTCCATTTTTGATAAGTTACCTGAAGGATTAACTATACATGTACCCATATCATCTTTTACTCGAATTATTTTACAGCCATTTTCCATTGTATTTTCATGTTCTTTAAATAAAGCATATGCAATGTGCAATGATGGAAAGCGTGTAATTGGATGGAATTTTAAAATTTCCATAGATTCAAAAGGTATATAATCCATATGCTATAAAATATTAGAGAACATATAAAAAATTGTGAATTTTATATTGTAAAAAGAGCAACAATATAAAATATTACATTTATATTATTAAGCTTACTTCATCAATTATTAAAACTAATGTTTTCCTTGTTGCATTTTTTAACTCTTGCATACAAGATAATTTTCCAAATATAGATAGTATAACACTGTCTGCAAGTTTATCATAATCAGAAAGTACATATTTTACAGCACGTGCTATTTCTTCTTTTGTAAGAAAACATGCTGCTAATGCTATTTTTTTTAATAACCACTTAGATCTTTTTGATATCACTTTTCTGTAATATATTGCAATAATATGATTTCTGTAATATATATAAAAAAGATAAATTAGAAAAATGAAAATATGTTTTACTTACGAAGTTTTGTAATCAGATATAAGTTTATCTATCATTTGTACAATATCTGTTACTAAATTTTGTTTGTTTATTGGATCTGCCATAAATAAGATTCTCCATTCTCGTAACCATATATGTTCTAATGCATGCATAGCAGTCTTAAATATACATACATATATGCAAATATGTATATATACATATACATATATAAAACATTGTTAAATTTATTAATATTATTTATTTAAATACCTTCATATTTGCATTTTGTCTCTCTCTCATTTTCCAATATAATTCATTATTTGCATATGTAGTTTCTAATTCTGATCTATTATTTGAAAGTAATTTTTGAATTTCATAACAAATATCATATGAAGAATGTAACTTAGGTTTTGGTAATGCTAGACACAAGGGTTCTACTTCTTTAATTCCTGTTGGTAATATAGTAATATATATTTCATGCATTGTATCCGATTTATTTCTAGTATATGTAAAAATATCTGGAGATCTATATTGTCCAGTGATTTGGATCATATACCATTCTATATATAAAAAAAGATTTGTAATAATTAGTATATTCAATAAAGTTTAAATAAAAAAATATTTATTATTTTTAACCTTTGGGCAAATCAAAAAGTATTGTTTTTATATTTTCAATTTTATTTTCATTATTTATATTATTTATATTATTTATATTGAATCCAACGTAAGAAGATTTAAGCCCATAAGTTTGTTGTACATTTAAAATTGATTTTCGCATTTCTGTTTTTATACATCTATGCAATATTTGTTGTCGAAGAATTACAGCATGTGATTCAATTAAATGAAATATAGCTTCAAGTTCATTACCAGTCTAAAAATAATATTCATAATTATGTAAACAAATTATTTTATTTCATATTAGAAATATTTCTAATTTTAATATTTCTAATAATTCTAATATTTCTAATTCTATATTTCTAACAATACATATAAAATTCATAATATAGTATAAAATTAATACATCAATGATACCTTTAAATGACAATTTGCTAACATTTTATTAAGATTTGTGTATTCAACACTTCCTAAATTGCATCGTATATTTGCAAATAATTTATCGATCTCTTTCTTTAAATTTTGTATGCAATTAATTTCTATCATATTTGTTGATGTTTCTTCACATTTATCATTATTTAAATGACAATTGTCTAAAATTTCGAAAATTTCGTCCATATTAATAAATATAACTCACTTTTAATATAACTTTTATAACTATAAACTCTTTTACGTTTTACAATTTTATCAATTGTAACTGTTGCTTAAATTCAAATGTAGCTAATACCAACCTATGTATATAAGGTTAGAGAAAAAAATTTATAGTAATAAAAAATAAATTGTTATAAATCTATATTTTTTTATATAATTATTGATTTCAAAATAAACTTTTATATTTTTATCTTTCATTTTATATATTTAAAAATATATTTTTTAAAATATAGATATCAAAGAAAATCAAAATATGAAAACATGGTATTTAAATATTAAATAGTATTTAATATAAATTATATAAGTCATAATTGATACAATAAATTTTATTTAAGAATTAAATATAAATATATAAAACTTATCGATATTATTTTCTTATTAATTTTTATTATTATATATACCATACTAATTGTACAAAAATAATATATTTAATACATTATGTTAAAATATATGAATTTTGTATACTTTCATCATTTCATAATTTTCAAAATTTTATAATTACATATTTTTAGACAAGATATTATGATAATTTTATTATATCAAATATGAATTTATTAAAACATTTTTGTAAATATCATTGATAATATCATATGAAATCATATGAAAATTATTTACATATATAAAATTCATATTTTACAATTTTTAATAAATAGCATATTTACATTTTTGCATCATTGTTATAAAATTTATATAAGAATGTTGACTATTGAAGAATTCTTATAACTAAATTTTATTATTAAATTACAGAATGTTAAAAAATATATTTTTATGAAGACTCTTTGAAGAATTAAAAGATTTTTAACAAAAGCATTATCATAAAAAATTATGAAAACAATAAATTTCATTATTCCAATATACAAGGTCCTTCCAATAATTGTCCTTTTATATGATTTAAATTTTCTCCAGCATAAGATAACAAAGGAGATATTTCTATATCACCTGATACAGATATAGCTCCTGCATTTAATAACCATTTTTTATGAAGTTTAAGTACATCATTTCGTGCAGTACTTGGGCAATCTTGACCAACAGAATCTGCATTTTTTAAAGGACTGAAATCTTCTTCACGAATTCCTTCCCAAACTGTTAAATGTTTTGCGAATTTAAATACATCAAATATAAATTTCTCAATTTTAATACCATTAGGAATTTTGGGTTCATTTCGGTTTCCATCTTCATCAATATATGGTATTTTTTTTTTAGCAGCATGAAGTTCCATTTCTTTTTCATGATATTTAGCAATGCTATATAGAAAATCTACAGTGAAATAGTGATTGCATATATTTGCTGCATTATATATTAATTGTCCATCATTAGAATATAATTCAGCCGTTTCTTTTGAAATTTCACTATACTCTACAACTTTGAATATATCATTAACCTGTAATAATAATAATACAATACAATAATACAATAATAATAATAAAATAAAATAATATAAGAAATAATAAGTAAAGAATAATTAAAAATATTTTACGCACTTTACATACAATTCCCACTGGTTCATTTGGGGAAGATTTTTCTATAACTTTAACTCCACAATCAGTTTGTAAAGATAAGCAATATCCAATAAAAATAGGATCTGCTACTTTTATTAAAATATTATCAACTGAATGAACATGAACACTATGAATTCCACGTTGTATCATATCATCCAATATTCCTTGTGTTATTAAAGCTCGATATACTCCCCCATTTCCATCTGGAGCTTTCGAAATTTTATATTTTTTATCCAAAATAATTTTTCCATCCAATGTAAAACATGGTAGCATACCTTGTTTAAAGGCTTTACAATTTTTTTCTTTTAGATTAAAATAATTATGTTGATGTAGAAACGATACTGTTATATCATGAGTAGCTTCACTGGTTAATATATACCTAAGAAAAAAAATTAATTATTATTTTATTTAAAATATAAATTTTTATGTACTAAATTATTTAATCTAGAAATTAAACTAAAAGTATGTACCACGTAATTTCTCCATCTTTCCCATACTTTTCCTTTGCCATATTTTCCAAACGAAGTATTCTTTCTGCCTGTAGTTGAAAAAGTGTCTTTCCAGAAGGTAAACCAACATTGTATATACCTTTGGGATAAGTTACACCTAATCTAGTACCTTGACCACCAGCCATTAATAATACAGCTAGTTGCCCATTTGCTATTTCTTGCAATCCCAATTCTTCATACATTTTTAATTGTTTCTTATCAGAGGTTTTAACAGATGCAATACTTTCTTTAGGAATAGGAGATACCTTATCATCCAATGTATTCATATTCAAAGAAGCATATATTGCACTATCAAAATATGATATTACATCCATGAAATTTAATTCAGATATATCTTGACAAAGCTCCTCTTTTTCGTTATCTGATAATTCATCATAGAACTTTAATAAATGTTCCTGACCGCACTCTATCAATTTTCTTTGAAGAGATTCCATATTTACAGAGTCCAATATTTCGCTTGACAACCGTGTGTACATAAACAATAATTATATCACGTTATTTCAATATTGTTATTTTTAACACAATAACTGATAGATGTTTGTGTTTTTTCTTTATTTAAATAAATGAAAAAAATAAATGTAAAAAGCAGCAGTCATTTGATTGAAATTTGTAACCTATCCCAATTCATGGATAAAATGGAATACGCCTTTACTTTCACGATTCCACGTAGCACATTTGACTCGATTTCTCTTATCAGCCCCTCTTACCCTTCCAACTTCTCTGACTATTCTCCTTTCCCTTTTCAACATATTTTGCATCCATGAATATGTTTTAAAAGATCATATTATTTTCTCATCAAAATTTGATTAAATATCCGAACCGTAATCATAACCGTAAACTTTTCCTATATAAGTCAATATTAACATTTATTTCTATGTTATTGATAAAGAGTAATTAACTTTTTATGAAAAAATTACTTCTGATTAAGTTACTACTATGATAATGAAATAAAGATAAAAAACGAAAGAAAACTTGCAAGTTATATTTTAATCAAAATTAAAATATGTATATATATTTAAAAATATAATATCTATAATAATGATTAAGATTTATTTAAAAAATATCCATATATTATTTATTTTTTTCTTCCTTGTAAATATTTAAATTTCCGAATTAAAAACAATTTTAATTTTATTTATATTACACATATTTTTTATGATTTAATTATTATTTCATTTATTTGATATACAATTTTGGATTTTATAAGGTAATAACTTAAAGAACTTTTTAAAATTTAATTTAATCATATATTATACAAATTTTATGATAATTTAAGAAAACAAAAAAATTTATAACAATATATTTTTATTATTTAAATAATTGATTACCGGCATGCGCATGCATGTATACATAAAAATTAAAAATATTTAAAAACACATTTTTATATGAAGATATATTAAAACAATATTAATAAAAGATTTTCAATTTACATTACTATATATACTAATTTTTTTATACAAAAAAACTTTACGTTTAAAAAATATTTATAAAGTATATTTATATTATTTAAAATTAGCAACTATCCTTGATAAAAATAAGAAAAAAAAATTAGTAAATGATATTTAAATCGAATTATTTATAAACTTAAATAATAATTTTATACTACATAATATTATTATATTATTTCAATTTTATTATAGATCATATTTTGAAATATACTAATAAAACTCGAAACTATCTTCGATAATATAAGGTATGTGACCATATTTATGCAATATAATATAATTTTTAAATGTATTGCCAATTAGATATTAGTAATAGATAGTAACACATGATGGCGCTTTTAATTCTCTGTCAGTATTCAATGTATACCGAAGTGATCTCAATATTTCATTTAAGTTACATGCATGTTTGCTTGTGACTTATGAAGAGACATCATGTTGTACCTGCCTAAATAACATTTTCAATAATGCTGCTGCAATATTACAGATGTAATATAATAAGTTGTAATGTGTAGTGATGTGATATGTCTATGCGTTCATGATAAAGTACTCGCCCTTTGTAAATGTATTTCGGTAAGTTACATTTATGCTTGCTTCAAGTTACAGTCTTTTCATATTGCTGATTCGAAGGATTTCTTTAAAAAATTCGTCATCAATTGTCATGCAAGCTACAAAACCAATTAATACATTTATAGTGACAACTATAGGGTATTATTATATGAATATTATTTTTTATATAAATAAACAAATTGTAATTACAAATTCAATTAAATCTTGAATATATTATGAATTTATTTATACACTATTATTTTTCTAATTGTCTTAATTTTATTTTATGGAATTTGATAGGTTAGGAAGAATGTCCTTGAATTCTTTTATTTCGGCAATATTTAAATTATATTATTCATAAAAATATTATATTTCTTTTAAAACAATTAATTTTAAGCTAAATTCATAGAATTTTTTATTCATTTTACTATAATTTCTATACAAATTTTTAAAAGAAGATTTTATTTAAATAATTCATAAACTGTTATATTTTTAAATATTTTTAAAAAGTAAGATTTTTTTATAGTAAAACGATATTTTTAAAAGCTAAAATTTCTAAACTTTAGAAGCCAGGTGCCTAGAAAGCAGCTGGCAAGATGGGCAAATTGTTGTCAAAGATTTTTGGCAACAAGGAGATGCGAATTTTGATGCTAGGATTGGATGCTGCTGGGAAAACTAGTATCCTTGATATATATTTAAAAAAATTTTTTTTATTTTGTAAATTTTATTTTGAAATTTTGTAAAAAAAATCTCTAAAATTATGTTATATTTTTTTAAATGTAGTAGTTTTCATCAACATTTCCTTAATTACATATCAGCAATACTATATAAACTTAAACTAGGACAGTCTGTAACAACTATACCAACTGTAGGATTCAATGTAGAAACAGTTACCTATAAAAATGTTAAGTTCAATGTTTGGGTAAGTAATAACATTAACATTTGTAGTAATAATAATATTTTTATAGAAAATG